AACTTTATTCTTCTGTTTTTCAGACCCGCTGTCTACGAACCCGAATTCCGGAAACGCTTCTCAACTCTTTGATTACCTATAGGAGATTGGATCAGGTCCTTGAATCTCTTCACGGACATTATAGCGCAGAAATCCTCGAGAAAACGCGGGAACTCGAGCTTCAAGTTGAACATTTATCGAGTAAATTGTCGCATTTAAAATCGCAGAACGATCTTTTGCAGTTGTGTCTTGAAGAGAGTAAAGGAAATTGCGAGCGTTTGAGTTTGCTTGTCGCAAAATACGAAAGCAAAGATACGGCGTTAGTTTTGGCGTTACAGAACACGGATCAAATTGTCGAAGCTTACGAAGTTATGTTACAATTGCAAGAAAGCGAACAGGACTTACTTGTTGCGAGTTATCGAAGCAATATGCAGTCGTTTGCGACAGATACAATCAAATCTCTTACGAGCACCAACTCCTCGAAATCTAATGTTTCGGGGGCAAGTTCGCTAACTTCGAATTCTCATTACCAGTTGACGTATGGGGATGACCTGCCCGATGATGATGAGGGAATCGCCATGTTCCAGACGTCACAGACAAAACGCAGGGATGCCGAATCACACGCGAAAAACTTACTGCAAAAACTTGATCGTAAATACGAGGCAGCGATAACAGGAAGTCCGTTTCTGAATTTCGATGAAAATTTCGATTTTAATAGCCGTACAAGCACGTTAAGTTCGGCAAATTCTTCAAATTTCGAAACACTGTCGAAAGAGGAGGAATTGCGGTTGAAAGAATACGTCCAATTGCTGAAAACCGAACGAAGCACTGTCGAAACAACGGTTGTCGAACTTGAAAGCGTAACGGACGTACTTGAGATTGTCGATGATTCAAATATCGAAACTGGCGATAAAGGAAGTCTTGATCTCGAAACTGCGGTGTTACTACAAGAATTACAGGCGTTGAAAGAGGAGCGAGCTGAGCTAAAGCATCGAATTTTTATGCTCGATAAAGAACGGAAAGCTCTTGAGTTGAAATTGAACAGTCGAGAAGCTCAAGAGCAAGGCTACATTGCACACATAGAATATTTGAAAAGTGAAGTGAAAGAACAGATGAAGAAACGAAAACAAATATTAAAGGAAGAGCGAAAACTTAGAGGATCGACCCAGGTAAACTTTACAATCCGTAGTTTTTCCCTTCACTACTTTTGGTACTTTGAAATATTAATTAGAACACCTGAACATCTAATTAATTATAATATTTTTTCTCAAACCCAGTGACCCCAAAACCGCCCGATTACCCCACAATGCTCTAGCCATCCTTACTTCTGTATCTGTCATTTCTTTCATCCTCTTTTTCTTATTGCCCCCTTCTTCCCTTGCCCCATCCCCTTTTTCTTCTCCAACAATATTTTTTTGTTTTTTTATTTTCACCTTTCTTTTGTTGCCTTTTTCCCTCTTACCCCTTCTTCATCTTTGTCTACTCTTTTCTATTTACCACATTCTTTCTTTACTGTTCTCCCTTTTTCTCCACTTTTTCGCTTCCTTGGTTCAGCCCCCCTCCCTATCCCGTTGTCTTTCTCTTACATCGCCCTTCCCACTTTTCTTCTGTTTTATTCCTTCTCTTTTGTTTAATTCATTGCTTTCTTCTAATATCAACCCCCCCCCCCCCTTATAGCATTTCCTTTTATCAAAACAAGTGAATTAAAATCTATTTAGTAACCTCGATCTTTCTTAATAGGATGACGATGGCCATTCTTCCGCTAGCGGTAATGCGGCAATTGGTTTGCCTGTAAGTGAATTCCGCGCGTCAGAAGAAGACATCCCACAAGACCTACATGAAGCGGCTCGGCGCGAAAAGAAGTTGAAATCAAGGATCCAGGAGTTGGTTGACACTCTAGAAAAATTATCAAAAAATTCGGAAATAAGACATCAGCAGACGGCGGAGTATATCAGCGACTTGAAGCGGGCCAATGGCGCTCTGGTTTCCGCATACGAAAAAGCGAAGAAGCGGCATGCGTCAAGGCTCAAGAAATTTGAGGCCCAGTTGATAACAATGGCTGAAAAACACCAGGAACAGGTACTTTGTGGTTTTTATTCCTTTTTCAATCTCATCTTCTTTTTCTTCGCATTTTTTAATTTGTTTCTTTTTCTTCTAACCAAATTCTTCCTCTTCTTTCTTTTCTTTTTATTTTCTTTCTCCTTCGCTCCCTCTTCCTCCCCTTCTTCCTCCCCTTCTTCCTCCCCTTCTTCCTCCCCTTCTTCCTTCCCTTCTTCCTCTCCTTCTTCCTCCCCTTCTTCCTCCCCTTCTTCCTCCCCTTTTTACTCCCCTCCTTCCTCCCCTTCTTCCTCTCCTTCTCCATCTTCCCCTACATTTTTCTTTTTCCTTTTTTCTCTTTTTTTTCCTCTTCCCTTTCTCCCCCTCCTCCCCCAGTTTCCGCTCTTCCCTTCTTCACCCTCTTCTTTTTTCTCTCCTTTTTCCTCTTCCCTTCCTCCCTCTCCTTTCCCACTTTTCTCTCTTCCCTTCTTCTTCTTCTTCTTTTTTCTCTTCCCTTCCTCCCCCTCCTCCCCTGGTTACCTCTCTTCCTTTTGTCTCCCTCTTCTTTTTTCTCTCCTTTTCCCTCATCCCTTCCTCCCCCTCCTCCCCCGGTTACCTCTCTTCCCTTTATCTCCCACCTCTTTTTTCTCTCCTTTTTTCTCTTCCCTTCCTCCCTCTCCTTTCCCACTTTTCTCTCTTCCCTTCTTCTTCTTCTTCTTTTTTCTCTTCCCTTCCTCCCCCTCCTCCCCTGGTTACCTCTCTTCCTTTTGTCTCCCTCTTCTTTTTTCTCTCCTTTTCCCTCATCCCTTCCTCCCCCTCCTCCCCCGGTTACCTCTCTTCCCTTTATCTCCCTTAATCTCCTCTTCTTTTTCTCTCCTTTTTCCTCTTCCCTTCCTCCCTCTCACCCTTTCCCACTTTTCCTCTACCTCTCTCCCTTCTTCTTCTTTCTTCTTTTTTCTCTTCCCCTTCCTCCCCTCCTCCCCACTTTCCTCTCTTCCTTCTTTACCCTTCTTCTCCCTCTTCTTTTTCCTCTTCCCTTCCTCCCCCTCCTCTCCCACTTTTCTCTCTTCCCTTCTTCTCCCTCTTCTTTTTCCTCTTCCCTTCCTCCCCCTCCTCTCCCACTTTTCTCTCTTCCCTTCTTCTCCCTCTTCTTTTTCCTCTTCCCTTCATCCCCCTCCTCTCCCACTTTTCTCTCTTCCCTTCTTCTTCTTCTTCTTTTTCCTCTTCCCTTCCTCCCCCTCCTCTCCCACTTTTCTTTCTTCCCTTCTTCTCCCTCTTCTTTTTTCTCTTCCCTTCCTCCCCCTCCTCTCCCACTTTTCTCTCTTCCCTTCTTCTTCTTCTCCTTTTTCCTCTTCCCTTCCTCCCCCTCCTCTCCCACTTTTCTCTCTTCCCTTCTTCTTCTTCTTCTTCTTTTTCCTCTTCTCTTCCTCCCTCTCCTTTCCCACTTTTCTCTCTTCCCTTCTTCTTCTTCTTCTTTTTCCTCTTCCCTTCCTCCCCCTCCTCTCCCACTTTTCTTTCTTCCCTTCTTCTCCCTCTTCTTTTTTCTCTTCCCTTCCTCCCCCTCCTCTCCCACTTTTCTCTCTTCCCTTCTTCTTCTTCTCCTTTTTCCTCTTCCCTTCCTCCCCCTCCTCTCCCACTTTTCTCTCTTCCCTTCTTCTTCTTCTTCTTCTTTTTCCTCTTCTCTTCCTCCCTCTCCTTTCCCACTTTTCTCTCTTCCCTTCTTCTTCTTCTTCTTTTTTCTCTTCTTCTTCCTCTTCTTTTCCCTTTCCCCCTTCTCTTTTCTCCCCTTCTTTTACTTTGTCTTGTCCTCTACTTTCTTCGTAAACTTCCTCCTCCTTTCACTTTCTTTCATTTTTCCTTTTTTCTTTTTCTTTCCCTTCTTCTTCCTCATAATATTCTATTTCATCCTTCTCTTTCTCCTCTTTCATTCTCCGTATTCTTCATTGTCAATTCTATCAAATTTCAATCGTATTTAGTCATTTTTACTAAATTCCTTTTAAATTCACAGACAAGAGTTCTCAAAGAGCGAATATCCAAACTTACTGGCGATGACGACAAATCGAAGCCAAGGCGACAAAAGGAATCCTCGCTATGATCAGTTCCTGGAAAGCGCTGCCATTGTTGAAGAATTCTAAGAACTCAACAGGTGCCTTGTCATCGTGTTGTCAATTACTGTTCTCTTAAATTTGTCAGTACTGTGTTCAGAACATGACTGAGAGCAGACTGTTTCTGTCACAAATTTCACTTGTGTTTGGTTTTTCGAATCTTGTGTTTTCAAAGACAAGATCTGAGAACAGATCCGGAATGCGGAAATAAGCTGTTTGCGACCCAGGAAAAAAAGTTTTGGATTTATTATTGCTTGGAAGACATGCAATATTGGTGGTGAAAACATATCTGGCTCCAGACATCGCTATAGCGGAAGCAAATGGAATAGAACACAAATCACGTGGTTACAGATTTTTGTTTTTGGGTGTAAGCTATAAGCCGATCTCCAGCCGGAACCGGAAATGAAGTATCGCTTGGTATTTCTTGGAATTTTCAAACATTTCTCAGAATAGAGATTACAAAGAATCATTCGTTGCTTACGTCATAACAACAAGATTGCCGATTAAACAATAGCAAAAACCAGAGCTTTTGCAGTGTATAGAAACTAACTTTTTCCTCTTAGTGTGTTGTTATCCTTAACTCAAGAACAATGGAGTTTAAAAACCTCGATGAAATTTATACTCATAAAGTATAGGCAATAGTTTTTATTGATAAGTTTTCAATCGAAACCAAATTTTAAATTGACCGGACGTTTCTTGGAACCTCCCAGTAATTTTATGCTGGCATCTTTTTGATAATTTACTAATACAAAGATCAGTTATGATTCATGTCAATCAGTCTTATCAATTTTCTCTCTTTCTTCCGTGCGTTTGCCTTTGCCCCCACCCCCTGTAAGCCTATCTTCCTCGCCCCCCCATATGTATAATAAAAGTTTTGCCATTGATAAAATGCCCTTGGGCTGCTATCAAATTATCGAAAAACACTCTTTTACTTTATTCAAAGTGATTCTTGTCGCAAAAAAAGGTTTTTTACAAAGATATACTTCGAGACAGGTTAGTTTTCATAAAAAAATGACGCTATATTTAAAAGAATTCTAAGGTCTTTTGGAAATATTTATTTTCTTGAACTTCTTGAAAAGCTTTAATATGCATTCTAAAGCCATCATATACCTTTTAACTAAAACCAGTTTTTACCCGTTAAAAATAGAAAAAGATTTAAAACTTGACCCCTATAAAAAATCACTATTTTTGAAAAAAGGCCTTCTTTTCCAAATCAAGATTAATTACGGTTTTATCTGATCATACTAAAGCAAACTAACCAGATTTTAGAGGAAAAAAAATGCAAAAATTTTCGACGATTTTTCCAAGGCTATAGCCTTACTTTTTTATCGAAAAATCATCCCCATAAAAAGTCGCTAATTTTTTGAAAAAACGCTTTTCTTTTCCAAACCAAGATTAATTACGGTTTTGTCTGATCATACTAAAGCAAACTAATCGGTTTTTAGAGGAAACAAATTTCAAAGATTTTCGACGTTTTTTCCAAGGCTATAGCCTTACTTTTTTATCGAAAAATCACCGCCATAAAAAGTAGCTAATTTTTTAAAAAAAACCCTTTTCTTTTCCAAACCAAGATTGATTACGGTTTTATGTGATCATACTAAAGCAAACTAATCGGTTTTTAGAGGAAACAAATTTCAAAGATTTTCGACGTTTTTTCCAAGCCTATAGCCTTACTTTTTTATCGAAAAATCACCCCCATAAAAAGTCGCTAATTTTTTGAAAAAACGCTTTTCTTTTCCGAACCAAGATTGATTACGGTTTTATCTGATCATACTAAAGCAAACTAATCGGTTTTTAGAGGAAACAAATTTCAAAGATTTTCGATGTTTTTTCCAAGGCTATAGCCTTACTTTTTTATCGAAAAATCACCCCCATAAAAAGTCGCTAATTTTTTAAAAAAACGCTTTTCTTTTCCGAACCAAGATTGAATACGGTTTTATCTGATCATACTTAAGCAAACTAATCAGTTTTTAGAGCAAAAAAATTTCAAAGATTTTCGACGATTTTTCCAAGGCTATAGCCTTACTTTTTTATCGAAAAATCACCCCATAAAAAGTAGCTAATTTTTTGAAAAAACCCTTTTCTTTTCCAAACCAAGATTGATTACGGTTTTATGTGATCATACTAAAGCAAACTAACGGTTTTTAGAGGAAAAAATAAAATTTTCGACGTTTTTTCCAAGCCTATAGCCTTACTTTTTTATCGAAAAATCACCCCCATAAAAAGTCGCTAATTTTTTGAAAAAACGCTTTTCTTTTCCGAACCAAGATTGAATACGGTTTTATCTGATCATACTTAAGCAAACTAATCAGTTTTTAGAGCAAAAAAATTTCAAAGATTTTCGACGATTTTTCCAAGGCTATAGCCTTACTTTTTTATCGAAAAATCACCCTAATAAAAAGTCGCTAATTTTTTGAAAAAACGCTTTTCTTTTCCAAACCAAGATTAATTACGGTTTTATCTGATCATACTAAAGCAAACTAACCGGTTTTTAGAGCAAAAAAATTTCAAAGATTTTCGACGATTTTTCCAAGGCTATAGCCTTACTTTTTTATCGAAAAATCACCCACATAAAAGTCGCTAATTTTTTGAAAAAACGCTTTTCTTTTCCAAACCAAGATTAATTACGGTTTTATCTGATCATACTAAAGCAAACTAACCGGTTTTTAGAGCAAAAAAATTTCAAAGATTTTCGACGATTTTTCCAAGGCTATAGCCTTACTTTTTTATCGAAAAATCACCCCATAAAAAGTCGCTAATTTTTTGAAAAAACGCTTTTCTTTTCCAAACCAAGATTAATTACGGTTTTATCTGATCATACTAAAGCAAACTAATCAGTTTTTAGAGAAAAAAAATTGCAAAAATTTTCGACGATTTTTCCAAGGCTATAGCCTTACTTTTTTATCGAAAAATCACCCCATAAAAAGTCGCTAATTTTTTGAAAAAACGCTTTTCTTTTCCAAACCAAGATTGAATACGGTTTTATCTGATCATACTAAAGCAAACTAATCAGTTTTTAGAGCAAAAAAATTTCAAAGATTTTCGACGATTTTTCCAAGGCTATAGCCTTACTTTTTTATCGAAAAATCATCCCCATAAAAAGTCGCTAATTTTTTGAAAAAACGCTTTTCTTTTCCAAACCAAGATTGAATACGGTTTTATCTGATCATACTAAAGCAAACTAACCGGTTTTTAGAGCAAAAAAATTTCAAAGATTTTCGACGATTTTTCCAAGGCTATAGCCTTACTTTTTTATCGAAAAATCACCCTAATAAAAAGTCGCTAATTTTTTGAAAAAACGCTTTTCTTTTCCAAACCAAGATTAATTACGGTTTTATCTGATCATACTAAAGCAAACTAACCGGTTTTAGAGCAAAAAAATTGCAAAAATTTTCGACGATTTTTCCAAGGCTATAGCCTTACTTTTTTATCAAAAATTCATCCCTCATAAAAAGTCGCTAATTTTTTGAAAAAACGCTTTTCTTTTCCAAACCAAGATTAATTACGGTTTATCTGATCATACTAAAGCAAACTAACCGGTTTTTAGAGCAAAAAAAGTTCAAAGATTTTCGACGATTTTTCCAAGGCTATAGCCTTACTTTTTTATCGAAAAATCACCCTCATAAAAAGTCGCTAATTTTTTGAAAAAACGCTTTTCTTTTCCAAACCAAGATTAATTACGGTTTTATCTGATCATACTAAAGCAAACTAACCAGTTTTTAGAGGAAAAAAAATTCAAAAATTTTCGACGATTTTTCCAAGGCTATAGCCTTACTTTTTTATCGAAAAATCACCCCCATAAAAAGTCGCTAATTTTTTGAAAAAACGCTTTTCTTTTCCAAACCAAGATTGAATACGGTTTTATCTGATCATACTAAAGCAAACTAACCGGTTTGTAGAGCAAAAAAATTTCAAAGATTTTCGACGATTTTTCCAAGGCTATAGCCTTACTTTTTTATCAAAAAATCACCCTCATAAAAAGTCGCTAATTTTTTGAAAAAACGCTTTTCTTTTCCGAACCAAGATTGAATACGGTTTTATCTGATCATACTAAATCAAACTAATCGGTTTTTAGAGGAAAAAAATTACAAAGATTTTCGACGATTTTTCCAAGGCTATAGCCTTACTTTTTTATCGAAAAATCACCCCCATAAAAAGTCACTAATTTTTTGAAAAAACGCTTTTCTTTTCCGAACCAAGATTGAATACGGTTTTATCTGATCATACTAAAGCAAACTAATCAGTTTTTAGAGCAAAAAAATTTCAAAGATTTTCGACGATTTTTCCAAGGCTATAGCCTTACTTTTTTATCGAAAAGTCACCCCCATATAAAGTCGCTAATTTTTTGAAAAAACGCTTTTCTTTTCCGAACCAAGATTGAATACGGTTTTATCTGGTCATACGAAAGGAAACTAATCAGGTTTTAGAGCAAAAAAATTTCAAAGATTTTCGACGATTTTTCCAAGGCTATAGCGTTACTTTTTTATCAAAAATTCACCCCTCTAAAAAGTCGCAAATTTTTTGAAAAAACGCTTTCTTTTCCGAACCAAGATTGAATACGGTTTTATCTGGTCATACTAAAGCAAACTAACCAGTTTTTAGAGGAAAAAAATTGAAATAATTTTCGCCGTTTTTTCCAAGGCTATAGGCTTACTTTTTTATCGAAAAATCAACCCCATAAAAAGTCCCTAATTCTTTGAAAAAACGCTTTTCATTTTAAAACAAGATGAATTACGGTTTTATTTGGCCGTACTAAAGCAAACTAATCTGGTTTTAGGGGGAAACAAATTTCCAAAATTTTCGACGACTTTTCCAAGGCTATAACCTTACTTTTTTATCAAAAATTCATCCCCATAAAAAGACGCTAATTTTTTTCAAAAAACGTATTCTTTTCCAAACCAAGATTAATTACGGTATTATCTGATCATACTAAAGCAAACTAATCAGTTTTTAGAGCAAAAAAATTTCAAAGATTTTCGACGATTTCTTCAAGGCTATAGCCTTACTTTTTTATCAAAAAATTGCTTTCATAAAAAGTCGCTATTTTTTTGAAAAAACGCTTTTCTTTTCCGAACCAAGAGTAACTACGGTTTTATCTGATCACACTAAAGCAAACTAATCAGTTTTCAGAGGAAAAATAAGTTCTTTGGATGATGGGGCAAAAAACATAAAGAACCTGCCACACAAGGTTCTCCTGGAAAACGTCTTAGAATTAAATATTAAACATATGAGCCCAAATGTGAATTATTAATGTTTTTCTGAAATGATTTTCAAATATCAAGGGTCCTTTGATAAACACAAAAGACAAACCTGATCTCTAGAGCTCTCTTAAGAGATTTTATATTTTGCACCATACACAGAGCCCGCGCTATAGGGGGGCCGGGATGGCCATGTAAGTAGTTTTAAAGCTGCAGTAAAAGGGATAATTAGCCTTTGGCCATTACTTTTCTAGCCTTGCCCCCCCTCCACTTTCAATTTCGTAGGAGGGGGCAAGGCTAGAAAAAGGGTTATATGTTATCTATTCTCATTGGGAAAACGACACGACATTCAAACAAACACTTTCTTGTTGGATTCATGCCTGACAGAACAGGAAACTCAATTTAACCCCCGTCATCGACTGGGACGAGGATCAGCCAATTAGTTTTGTGCATTTTTTGTTTTCTCAGAACCCAAACAAAGTTCACAGTTCATGATGTCGTAAGAAAATATTTAAGAATTTATTGATTTCGTACGGAAAATCTGAAAGAACACAATAAAATACCTCTTGGTGTGAA